TGTATATATATATATACATATACATATATATGTATACATATATATATATACATATATATGTATATATATATGTATATATAAATACGTATATATGTATATATATATGTATATATATATGTATATATAAATACGTATATATATATATATATATATATATAAATATAAGACTTAAGGTTTATACGTTAAAGTTTTATAAGATAGTATACGTGGTATACTATCTATAACATGTTCTATACTATCTATCTGTATCTATATGTATATAGATACCCACGTGTGTGTGTGTGTGTGTGTGTGTGTGTGCGCGCACACAACCACCAAGCCCGACTCTCAAACTATTTGAAGGTCTCGACACCTCAGAGATTATCATCAAGTGTGGAACCATCTCCAGAGGAAGTGGAACCATCTCCAGAGGAAGTGGAACCATCTCCAGAGGAAGTGGAACAACACAGCTGACCGATAAGGGCGTGTCCTCCTGCTGCTCCATAGCAACCGACTCATTATGCGCAGGCAGCCCAGGAGGGTCTGTTTTATGGTGAACTTTATTATTTGTTAATTTAAACACTCTCTTAGACTCTACTTCTCTCTTGATTTATTACCTCAGTAAACATTGTAAACATGAGTTTATGGTCTCAATCTCTAGTTTCAAGTCTTCTTCAATACAGCATGATGTTCATTTAGTACATTATGGTCCATTTAGAGTCACACAGACCATAAAGCAGGGGATGCTTTAGGGCGGGGCTACACGGTGATTGACAGGTCTCTACCAGAGCGTTGTCTGGTTTGGGAGTTGCCCGTGTTTTTTGTCTCACAACTTAATCCTTTCACTGCGTTTTCACTTCAAAGTTAATTGTAACATTTTGGGCATGTCAATTGTGGTTGCAAAAAGACAAGATGGTGACGAGCAAAAATGAAGATGGAGACAGACAGAAAACAAGATGGCAATGTCCAAATATCAAGATGATGTCCAAATATCAAGACGGCGCCATTTTGGTCGTAAAAAAATATTTTTCAGCGTTCAGTTGTACTTAGCTCCGCCCTCTGTCAAAAAGACAAGATGGTGATGGTCAAGTATCAAGATGGCGACGAACAAAATGCTGAACTCAAGGCTTCAAAACTGCAGTCCACAAACCAACGTGTGACGTCACGGTGACTCCCTCCACTTCTTTAATACGGTCGAAGTTGCGAACACACACTGGACGGCATCACCCAGATGTGTCGGTCACCGTGACTAGGAAACAACACTTGTATTTAGTATTTTTAGTTTCAAATCATAATTGAAGCTTTTCTGTTTTGTAGCCTGTTGTGACCGTTCAGCGTTCATAGAGTTTATTAGTGTTCCAAATGTTCATTATTTTATATCGAAAATATACAAAGTACCAAAGTTGCCAGAGGGCTGAATGCTGTTTCCTCAGCAGGAAGATGTAGTTTCTTTGACACTTGAACTAGAACAAACAGATCCTTGTGCTCATGGTTTTCCTGCTGTAACTTGTAAACTCGGGTATGAACCAAACCGACTGTTTGTTTTCCAAGTTTACCATAAACGTACCTTCATTTCACTGTTTCCTGGAGGAGCCTCGGGGAGCAGAGCCTTTCTGTCCTCATCTAACAGTCCACAGCATGAACCGGTACCAGTTCTCAGTCCGGTTCCTGATCCACAAGTTTAAACAGAAAAGCTGCTGATGGATAACTACCTTCTGCCAAAACACAGAAAGTTCATTATATTTTTTTCAGAGTCTCGTTTGTGTCACGTCGACCAACCAGAGTGAAGATTTCACTGAAACTGAGAATATTAAAAACGTTTTTCTTTCCTTCCCTCGCTTCCTTCATTCCTTGCTCTTCTCTCCGTCCCTACATCATCTAAATTGAGAAAAACACATATTAAAGTTCTTCGTTGAATGTGAAAACATGCAGCACTTTTCATTCACAGTAAAAAAAACTTTGTATCATATAGGCAATTTATTTTTTGAATTACCAGAAAACAAGCTATATTCATATACTGCGCACGCTCATACATGAATGTGTCCGCCTGCAACAATAAAGAAACATTATCCGCTGTTGCAATTTGTTGATAAACTATGAAAATGCAAACACTCAAATAACGGTTTGTGTTGGAGACGGAACGCGGGGAGGAAATGAAGAAACGTACGTTATAGTTCAAACACGTGACGCACGTTAGAGCTACGATACGTCAACGGCTGCAGAATAAATTCACCGCCACAATTGAATATGTTTTAAACACAACCACTCATTCCTTGAGTTTACCAGGACTTTCAATGACTATATTTTACCATGACCATGGGAACCCTGTTAGAACCTTCAGTCTTGTCCACAGTGTCTAGTTGTAAATGTGTATCTGGCTGCTCCTCTTGTTCATCAGCTGCAGCTGAATGGTTTCTCCTCTGTGTGTTGGACTCCTGTTTTCTTACGCGACAATCCTTCAGAACAAACTAAACAGTTTCTCTCCTGATTGGGTTTTACTGTGAAAATGCAAAACCGCCAAACAGACTCATGGCCGAATCATTTATGACACACTGAAAGGTTATTTTCTCCTGTGTGGATTCTCACACTACACTACACTACATTACAGTCATTTAGCAGACGCTTTTATCCAAAGTGACTTACAATTCAGAAATCACACCGTAGGAACAGCTACGGGAGCAACTTTGTGTTAGTTGTACCTTCTGTCTAAATCTTCTGCCACACACTGAACAATTGAATGGTTTCTCTCATGTATGCATTCTCATACATCTCTTCAGATGTGTCTTGGTTCCAAATATTTCAGTGCAAAGTCAAAAGTTTGTCTCCTGTGTGAGTTCTCATGTGTGACTTCAGATGCGTGTTTCTCAAAAATCTTTTATCACAAACTAAGCAGCTGAATGGTTTCTCTCCGGTGTGGATTCTCATGTGTAGCTGTAAATGTCCACTCTGTGAAAACGATTTCTCACAAACTGAGCAGCTGAATGGTTTCTCTCCAGTGTGGATTTTCATGTGTTTCTGTAAATCTCCATTTAGTGTAAAAGATTTTTCACAAACTGAGCATCTGAAAGGTTTCTCTTCTGTGTGAGTTACCATATGTGTCTTCAGATATGCGTTTCTGAAAAATCTTTTCTCACAAACTGAACAGCTGAATGGTTTCTCTCCAGTGTGGATTCTTATGTGTATCTGTAAATCACTATTCTGAGTAAAAGATTTCTCACAAACTGAACATCTGAACGGTTTCTCTCCTGTATGAGTTACCATGTGTCTCTTCTGATGTGTGGAATTAGAAAATCTTTTATCACAAACTGAGCAGTTAAAAGGTTTCTCTCCTGTATGAATTTGTGTGTGTCTCTTCAGACAAGTCTTGGTTCTAAATCTTGTCCCACATTCAGAACAGCTGAATGGTTTCTCTCCTGAGTGGCTTCTCATGTGCCTCTTCAGACCCCTCTTTAAGTTAAATCTTTTACCACACTCAGCGCAGCTAAATGAATGAAGTTCTTTGGTCTCGGTCAGGTCATCACTGTCCACAGGTTCAGAAGAGTCTCCAGTCTTCTCATAAGTATTTGTTTCTGGATGTCTATCTGGATCCGAGTTCCTGTCTGGTTCTGGTCCTCCACAGTCCTCTCCATCACCTTCTGTTTCCATCTGTTCAGTTTGTCTTTGATGAAGCTGTGAGGACTGAGCTTCCTCTTCATCGTCTTCACTCTTCACAGGAGTGAATGACAACTTGATATCAGCCTCCACCAGACCTTGAAGCTGCTCTCCCTCCTGACTGGTCCAGAGTTCCTCCTGTTCCTCTTCAATGTGTGGGGGCTCTGGGTCCTCCTGTTCCTCTTTAATGTGTGGGGGCTCTGGGTCCTCCTGTTCCTCTTTAATGTGTGGGGGCTCTGGGTCCTCCTGGTCCAGACTGGAGCTCCACTCCTGCTGCTCTTCTTTAACCACCAACAGCTGCTGGACGTCTGCAGGACAGAATGAAGTACTGATCACCTCTCAGACTAAACTTAAACCAATAACAATAGTTAATTGTATTTCAGTGTGGCTTTGGCACAGGCAGTAAAACTGCCTGTGCCAAAGCACACTGTATATTATCCATCGGGCTTAATAATTATCCATCGGGCTTAATAATCAGAATGATCACACACACACACGACTTGGAGATATTCAGTCAAAGGCATTGTTAGACCTCCTGTCTGTCTCTGTCTCTCTCTACACATGATATTCAAGGAAAGATCATTAGACCTCCTGTCTGCCTGTCTCTCTCCCTCTCTGTGTCTCTCTATCATACAGTCATTCAGGTCTTAGATATTTTTAGAGGACTTTTCCACTCTCACCCCCCCATTTCAAATTAAAAGCCCCACAGAATGAATTCTAACTGGAATGCTTGTGATGAAGCCTCTCATTTTAGTGTCAAACATTATGATTCTGTCTCCTCTCCCCCTCTCTCACCCACCCAGTCCCACCCTTTCAAAATAAAAGCCCCACAAATACAAGATTCAATCCAAGAGTATGAATCTAAAATGCAGAAAAGAGAGTAGCGCTATCTCAATTGAACCTGAATGACACTACCGGTAACATTGGCGTGTGTATACGTATATTGCGATTTCCTCGGGCAGTAGAAGCCACACTGTCAAAATTTCTTTAGGAATTTTCTAGTTTATATTGTCATACACAGAGAACAAGGCATTCAGCAAATTTATGATGCCAGCTAGTTAAGTTTCATTTTCAACCCTTTATATATTTATTTAATTGTAATTGAAATGAGTAGCAACCTGTTCCGATTTGGAGCAGAGTATCTGTCAATGTTACGCTCTGGGACTACCGGACATGTCAGAAGTTTGCAAGGGTCTGAAAAGAATTCAGTGGTGACTGGACTTTGAAGTAAAAGATGGGTGTAAGCTGACCACACTGATTGGTTTTGGTTCTCTTTAAATAGAATACTATGATATTGTCTGGTAGATAAGACAAGTCTGAAATGCAGGCATGACAGAATGGGTGAAAGTGATGTGATGAGGCAGTGATTTCAGTTCATGTGAGAAAACCAGAAACAACAAGCAACAACAGGGCTTCTAAAGTTCGAGCAACGAGGAATGCTGTATGAGGAGTGGATGGTGTGGATGCAGACTGACTGTGGATGGCTGGAGGTAAGGCCGGGGCTGCCAGTTAGGAGTTTAGAGAAGAAGCTAATGCCGCTAAGGTAAACTTTGATTGTGTTTTGATGGCCATTATGGTATAAGATAAGATAACCAGTAAAACGTAAGGGTTGACGATAGAGTTCTAGGAGTCGCTCTTCAAAGGTGTTGGAGATGGATTTACAGGTTAGCATCAGTGCTGAGTACAGAGGAAGCCGTGTTAGGCGAGTGTCTGCAAGAGAGTCCAATCTGAACCTCTGGAATGAGAAACGAGAAAGGTAGTCAGCACTTGCGTTGGAATGACTGAGAACCTGAGCTGTGCTGAGAACGTATTGGTGTGTAACAGAGAGCCAGATTAATCACTGCATGAATGGCATGATGGATGGGCCGTTGGAGCGTTATTTGTATTTGTTGATTATGTTTTTGACTGCAAGGTTGTCTGAATAAAAGAATGGACTTGTGGGATCGTTCATGGCCCCAGAGAATGGCTCCAGCTATTAAGGGACAGATTAAAATATAACGGAAGGATCTGGCTTTCACTTGTGAGCTCCGGGCATCTTCCACTGTAGAAACCCTCAAACTGTCAGAAGGTGCAGCATCGGTGGACACATGGATCTTATGTGGGTGAGTCATTTGGTGGTCATAACAGAGGGTGAGTGGCCCCATGATGTCCAAAGGGATGCACTCCATTGGGGCAACCACTAGAACAGTTCCCACGGGGGCTTCAGGTGTCTCATTGGGTCTGTCTTTTGAAGCTGGTAAAGGTACCGCACCAGAGGACAAAGTCCTCTCTCATCCGGTACCTAAAGTATCAGGTCTACAGTCGGACTACAGTGCACCCACCTCCAGTGCACATTCCTCCGTTCACTGAAAGCGGGTGTGTTTCTTTGTGAGGTCATAGAGGGGAAGAGCGAAACATTTAACCGCTTCAACACCGTTCGGTTACTGCGGTCAAGTGAGTCGTCATCTGTGGAACTTCAGTCAAGTGAGCCGCTTAAAACGTAATGCTCCTCTATTCCTGGTGTTACGGTACAGGTGCTCGGATGGCCCAAAAATCACAGAGACCAACAGTTAATCAATAATGTGTCTAATTTGATACAACAAGTCAAAAACAACATGTTGCACATTATATCAAATACAATTATAGTAAAATAGCTGGAAAGTTCATATATTATGAAATAATAACATTTGATCTGTAATAAAAACATATTTATTGGTCAGTTAAACTTTACACTGGATTTCTGTACAGGATGACAAACTTCATGTGATTTTACAGTTTTTGAGAAAATGAAAGATAAAATCAGCTCAAATGACGTCATGATCTTCATAACTTCCTCACATCTGAACTGCGTGATACACAAAGTCATGTAGTTGTTGTAGAGGTGAGGATCTAGATGTTCACCAGAAGAAGAAAGAATGAAGCAGATGAATTATCTCATACTGACTTCAGGCTGTTTGATGCATAATGTGGGCAAAGGTGGTGTGTGTGTTTGTTATGAAGTTTGATTGTGTTTATTTTCTAAAAAACTGTATAGTAATATCACATGAAACTAGACATGGACATAGTCGAAGTCTTCTTTCAATGGAATCCACTGAAGGTTTCTTATAACCTCTTAAGGATTTGTTTTTATAACAGTTCAAATAGGAGGACATTTTAGCTGACTTTACCTTTAATTTTCTTAAAAACTGTTCAGTAAACTCACATTAAATGTGACATGGACATAGTCGGGGTCTTCATGAACAAGAATCCAGTGAAAGTTGAACTGACCAATAAAATAAATGTTTTTATTAAAGATCAAACGGTATCATTAACTAGAAAATTCCTAAAGAAATTTTGACAGTGTGGCTTCTACTGCCCGAAGAAATCGCAATATATACACACGCCAATGTTACCGGTAGAGTCATTCAGGTTCAATTGAGATAGCGCTACTCTCTTTTCTGCATTTTAGATTCATACTCTTGGATTGAATCTTGTATTTGAGGGGCTTTTATTTTGAAAGGGTGGGACTGGGTGGGTGAGAGAGGGGGAGGGGAGACAGAATCATAATGTTTGACACTAAAATGAGAGGCGGGGGGGG